AATAATGACCTGACGGGGCTGCCATGTTACTGCAGATAGGCAGAGCCAGGCTGCAGCACAGCTGACTTCAGAATCAAATGTGAAGAAACAAGGCAGTGCTTTCCATGGCTCTTGCCTCACTTATGGCAGTGAGAAATTCAGTTCATTGCCCCCCCTTTTTGAATAAATACTTAATTTATTTTTTTGTTCTGTTTCGTTCTCATTCTTTTAATGCTTAGCTTTTAGTTTCCTGCATCTCCCTTTAGCTGAGGTGAAGCCAGAACTTTAGCAATTACATGTGAGATGAAAGTGCTGAAAACTTAGAACAGGTCTGTGTCAATACTCAGTATTTATCTTCTTTTAAAATGGCAGGTAGGAAGTAAATTACACTTCCTTTGATCCTAGAAAAAAACCTTAATGGTTGGGTTAAGTGCATTTACTTTCTGCACGGGTGAAAAGTAAATAATGGCCTAAAAGGTGAATACGGTCATGCAGATTGAGTCTATTACTAAAGTGCTAGCGTTACTATAGCTGTAGGAGGTGGGATGAAAGTTCCATTTTAGTTCTTTCCTAAAGTTGTTCATCCTACATCTTGCTTGGAAGGGAAAATGAATTCTCTCTCACTTTTTTTTGGCTGTAGTTAATTTTTATCGCTGTTCTTTAAACAATTTGTATTTTATTTTTTCTGGGTAAAATTCTAGTATTCAGTGAACTGAGTTGCATTTAACTTTGCATGGCAAATGAACTGCAGGAACTGTTTTTTATTTGTACAGCGCCTAGCACTGTAGTGTCCGTGTAAACCATGACACAAGTCACTAATAATTACTCTGCTACAGCCTTCATGTTTTCAAAACACTTCACAAAATAATTAATCACAGCGTCTCTTCTCTGTCTCTTTTTATGGATGTGGAAGTAAAGGCAAAAATCTGGCGTTGTCTGATGCAAAGCTGGAGCCAGAACGTGGATATCCTGGATCCTGTGTTTGGAGAGAAGATTACTCGCATGGCTGAGATAGCAGTGCGCTGGCAGTAGATCACGCTTTGCAGAAAACCGGGGGGTACAAGAGAAAATGTGTGTAAATGTGCACAGGATCTAGTGAGTAGGTCTAATTAACGACAAATTATACGTGGAAATTTAGCTTTGGCAGTACGTCGTGCATAAACTGCTGGGGCAGTCTCTTGGGATGTAAAATGGGGGGCCTGCTTTCCTCCGGGCCTGGGGCCGAGCTGTTTTTCTGTGGTGGTTGAGGTGCAGTTCCACTCTGCAAAGATTGCATAGGAGGAGAGGGAGGGGCATTGGTTGTATTTATTATTTTAAGGGCTTTTGACATTCAGGTTTGCTTAATCAAGCGACTACAGAGTTATTTCTTCTGGCTGTCAGTGCTCTGAGCTTGCTCTTTGGTTTGGAGGGGATTTGCCACAGATCCTTCCATTCTCATGCGTCAGCCATCACTGGCAATGAAAGTAAAACCGTCAGCTTATTAAATATTTGTCAACAACAATATGCAGGTATCAGCAGTAGCATCTTCATTTAGTGTCATTCAGTTACTTCAAAAAATTTGAAATGTAAGTTTGTGTGAAATTCAGCATTTTCTGCCATATTTGACTAACTGCTGCGTGTTGAAGTAAGTGCTGCACACAAGTTGTCTCAGGAGCAGAGTATTGGTAAAAACGTACTATTTTTCTACCCTGGACATATGACAGATTTCTTCTTTTCTGCGTACTCCCAGGGGAAGGGATCTATTGGGTAGAGTACGAATAGGTGGAACTGTGTCTGCCTACATCAGGCCCAGTTAGGAATTTGTGGGTTATTACTTAGTCTTGTCCTTTCCATGCCTGCCACACCGGAGTTCCTTATGGTGATCCTTGGGAGCTGGGGGTGCGTGTTTGGGACCTCTAGTGCAATTGCTAGCTCTTCATGAACGGAGGTTCATCTATCTCCTTTGAGCAGAAGGAGTGGGACACGTGTCAGGAGGAGTAAACTGAGTTGAGGCTCTTTTTGCGTGACATCTTGGAGCCATCTGTATGATAAAAGTATAAAAATAATCCGCACTGGTAAGAGCGTTAAAATGGACAATAATCTAAAAGTACGGTTCTATTTTGGAAAGTGGTAATCTTAAAAACGTCAATTTTGAATCCGGCAGATCTATTCCTGTGAGTATTAAAATATTACTTGCTAAATTTAGTGGCAAAAAGTACTGTTCTGGAGTATTGGAGAATGATCTGATTGTTTTTTCCTACTGTACCATCTACGAAACAGTCTGTTAAGTTTCCATTGTTTATACCCATTTGAAATTCTGTCACGTAGAAATTTCTAAGAGAGCTGTATGAATAATTATTTCCCTGGGCATTTCTTCCTCTGGATATTGATCCATTCAGAATAGAAAAATCCTTTCCTCTGAGGAATTAAGATAGAAAATACTGTTAATGCTGAGATAAAAATAAATTATTTTTTTAGCTTTTTCTGAAGTTTTAGAACCTTATTGGCAATGCAGTCAGGTGAAATATTGTGACTAATTTGAATATGAAATGCATCCTTCCAGTGCAACCAGACCAAGTATTTATTTTCTGTAAATAAGCAAGTTCTTGTTGTACAAAACCCCTAATTCTCTCTACCTTTGGTCAGCATTTGGTAGAATGACTTTCTCCCAAGTGATGCAGTTCTATCACATTTTAAATGCTTCTACAAAATTTCTTTTTGTGAATTTCATAAGGAAAATTAGGATAAAAGTACTCTGAAAGCAGTTTGCCTTAAACATTTTAAATCTAATTTCAAATATTTTATTTTGTATTCCCATTTTTCATATCCAATTTCTTAAACTCCCCTGTATGCTTTCTGTTTTGTCCCCAAGTATTTCTAAAACTTGACTCTTTTTTTTTTTTTTTAAATTAAGAATTAACCAAATTCCAAACTATTAAGTCCTTCATGAATTGTTATTAGGACTCTCACTGACTGAAGAAAAACAACTGAGGTTTTGTTTTTTTTTTTTTTTTTTAATCCCACTGATGGGTTTTAATTTTAACAACAAGTTCTGCAGCACTATTTTTGAGCAGAAATAAAACTTGTATTGAGAACGTTGAGATGGAAAAACTTCCTGTGCATACCTGAGACTTGTAAGCACTGCGTGATTAAAAAGCTTGGCTTTGAGACTGAAGCTAAAAACAGGCCATTAGTGGAGACTTCTCCAAATGTAAAACATTATTGTTTTGCTGTTAAAGTTTGTAAAGAGGAGGGGAAGAAACGGGCATTGGTCCTTGAGGAAAAAGGCCAGAAGATGTGTTGAAATCTTGAATGCAGATATTTAGAATGTGGAGTCTATACGTACTTGTCACTCAGGGACTTGCATATCCACTTCTAAAATACGGTTATCATGTTACAGTTTTTTGTGCTTTTTCCTCTTTGCTTTTCCCCTCCATACTGAGTGTTCAGACGTCCCTGCTTTCCCTCCCCTGGAAATGAAGGCCTTATGTGTCATATTCTCTGAACTGGCATCAAGGCAGTTTGCAAAACAAACCCGGGTATGGAATGAATGGGAAATGGAAATTAACTTCTACTTTGTGAAGGAATTTTTGCATCAGTGGCTTGAAAATTTTGACGTAGATAGTCATGAAAAGAATAGATCTCTTGGTCTCTTCTAGGTCTCTGCAAATATCTCTGATTTAAAGGAAATTTTTTCTCTTGTTGTTCTTCCTTTTTACTCCCCTCCCCTTGGTTGTGTTAGATCTTGTCCAAATACTTAATAGAAATTGATAGCGTGTTCCCAGGTAACAAATTACATCTGTCTCTGAAAATGAGTCAATGTAATCATGACAAATTCATGAAATAAAGGGGAAATACATCGCTGCAGTCCTGGGGAACATGAGTCAATATGCTTCATGTAATTATTTAATAAAACATCTCTTCTAGTGCATTGAACCAGCCTAAGATACTGAAGCGGTTGTATTTATGCAGGAATAAACAAACTTCCAGTAAAAGCTGGTGACCAGAAATATGCAATTATGCACTTCCAGAAATACTCATTAAACCAGTCTCCTTAAATTTTAATCAGACTTCTATGTATGAAACAGTCTTGATAAGAGGGAGCAGAAAAAAAAAAGAAGAAAGGATTTTTATGAAAGGCTATTCATTTAACTTCTTGTGCATGGAATTGCAAATCCGTCTAAAAGTTAACAATACAAAATCCTACATGCTGTCTTAATTCTGTTTCATGGGAGCCATATTAGTATCAGCACAGAAATTCTACATTGATACCAAAGCTGGCATAAAACAATATGATGTGGGGATTAGACAGTGAGATGTTTGAAATAGTTAAGCTTTGTGTAGTCCATGTGAGAAATGTCAGAGTGATTATCAGTGCGTGAATTCTTATATGAAAGTAAAGTCATAGGAAACACACTGTTACACTGAAGAATTACAAATAACCAGGTACTTCCAGTATTTTTTGACATTTCTTATTTATCTTCCTGGTATGTCTGAGCTAAGTACTGCAAACAGTGTTGTGTCTGAGACATGAGAGGACATGCGTGGCCCAGGATCATAAGGAAGTCAGGAACAGCCATAAGAGGTTCATGACTCCAGATGCTGGAGTGAATTCAGTAGGTGTCTGGTTATGTTCCTCTCAACGTTAGATTTGTATAGTTTAATGGTCAGTGACTTCCGTGTTTATTTTCAGTCAGCCTAAAGTAGCATCAGGATGCTCAGGGATGGTCTACTTGCACCATTGGACGTGTAATAAGTAGCCTGTCATTTGAAGCTCTTACAAATGTGTTTGTAGACCTATAATAACCTGAAAGGGGAGTTCAGAGAGCAACTCACAAAATGTTAGTCGATGAAGACGTGAGTGCATATATCCATCCCTGAAAAGGGTTGCTAATCTTTCCATGTTTCACAATCTCTCTTTTCAAGTGTTATCTGATGACCATCTATTTGTGATGGATCACCTCTTGTCTTTGGGAACCGCAGTTATGAATATTGTTGCTTTAATATAAAATACTCATGGTCACTGTGCTTTATCCTTCTAGGGCATCAGCAGCCTCTTCAGTTCACTTAAAGTGGTCAGGCTACTTCGGCTTGGTCGCGTAGCTCGGAAGTTGGACCACTACATTGAGTACGGAGCAGCAGTCTTGGTTCTGCTGGTGTGCGTGTTTGGTCTAGCAGCACACTGGTTGGCCTGCATTTGGTACAGCATAGGAGACTATGAAGTTATCGATGAGGATACAAACACAATCCGAACTGAGAGCTGGCTCTATCAGCTGGGGATGTCAATAGGAACACCTTACCGCTTTAACACGTCAGGCTTTGGAAAATGGGAAGGCGGACCAAGCAAAGATTCGGTCTACATCTCCTCGTTGTATTTTACGATGACCAGCCTCACCAGCGTTGGATTTGGGAACATCGCTCCGACTACAGATGGAGAGAAGATCTTTGCTGTTGCTATGATGATGATTGGCTGTAAGTATTAGAGATTCTGTCTCTCAAGCACAACCTGCCAAATAGCTGTGTGTCATGAATACTGACATAAGAACATCTGGAATCGTGTCAGATGTTATTATGCAGCTTAAAATATTTTGGGTGGCAATATAGTTATTACATACTTTCTTACTGGTTAGTTTTAAAATCACAAGTGGGAGTATTGCTGTGACTAGCAAAAATTCAGTCATTTTGGAAGCAATATTCTGGCGATATCCTTTCAATATTATCTTGTAAGCAAACCGTAAAATGTGTAAAGCCTGCAGTATTAAAAATTAATGCACCAGAGTGGGCACAGACAACCTTTGTGCCTCCATTTGGTATGTGGCAAAATCTTTGTATGTCTGAGAGCTGTATATATTGGACAAGTGCATCAGTGAATGGGAGGAGGTCCAAGAGCATCTCGTAAGGGAGAGAGAACAGTAGCTCTCTAGAGGCCATGAACTCCACTGTGGGCTGAGCATACAGTCAGATCTTAAAGCAACTGGGACGATATTGGCCTTGGGCACCTCTGGCTCACGTTTCCTTGTCGCAAGGGATTCATTCATATTGCCAAGCTGTCCAGCTTTTGGTTATATTGTGTTGCTTCAGTGCAAGATCTGCATTGAGAGCCACTTGCAGTTAAGAGCCATATGGTGGCCACCATTAAACTAGGTCATTTTTTTCTAGATAAGGTGGAATTTGAACTAAAGTAAGGAAAAAAAAATTCTCCTTTGTACGTGGAAGAACATACCATTATATGGAGAAGTAGAGAAGCTTCTGTACAATAATATGACATCTAGAGGAGAAAGAAGTCAATCCTTACTAAGCAGAAAATTAAAACCAAATATATAATGAAACTCAATTAGCAGCACAGTGCATGTTATGATAGAAACATGATGCTTTGATTCTGATGTTCATTTTACAGCAACACTGAAATCACATACTGAGATTACGTGTGAAGTGCTAAGCAGGCTGAACGTCAGTGGGAAGAAGTATAAAGACTGTGTAGGGATTGGGATATATTAGCTGTAAAAATTGTTAATTTTGTTCTTCTAGCTTTTTCCACTTCTAAGAGTCCCATCATCCTAATAATACCTCTGCATAGCAGAAGGGAAAACTAAAACTTGGAGACAAACATAAAACTTGGAGGCAGTTACGTGTTTTCCTCATGAGAAGGTGCATTAGACAATGTAGCAGTGTAGTACAAAACAGGCTTCCAAACTCATTCCCTGCTGAAGGTATCTGTTCAATAGGAAATATCCTGACCTTTGGCTTACTGTTCATTGGGTTATACTCGTGATACTAGCTAAACAAGAATAGCTAGTATTCAGTATTATTATTTAGTACTATGAATACTAAATGAACATAACCTTCATAAAATCAGGAATGTGCATGGGGGTATTTTGGAGTTGCACCTGCTCCAAACCCTTTATATGTAAATGTGGTGGAAAGAAATGGAATTTATGCAAGATTAATGTTGATAGAGATCTGCTCTGAATTGTGAAATTAACTTCAATTTCAACAAGTGTAAGAAACAGTGTTCTGGCAATTTTAAATCTCATGAATTTTGGCAACTACATTTGAGGGAAACAATTTTGGACTTTCGGAACCTTACATGTCTAACCCTATAACTGTCTGTGTATCTGAGCACCTTTATCCTGTGAACATCTACTTGGAAACCATTAGGATTGTTCGCAATATGTGTTTGTGGAAATGGCAACTAAGTAATCCAATCTTTGAGTTTACCTCTCTGGTTTTGGTAGGGTCTTGATTGCTTTTAACATGATGAAGTTTTGAGCTGTGGTCATTCCTCAGGATGGGAGGAACAAAACTGATTTGTTTAGTTTGCAGCTATTTAGAGCTTAATTGTTGACAGACATTCTTCCACCATAAAAATTTTATGTTAAAATAACACTATTTTGCCTGGAGAATTAAGCTCTCAAACATTGATCTGAGCTTGAACTAGGGTTATTTTGTAAGAATATTGTCTGATCTGTTGGGAACCTGAAAGATACATAGGAAATGTATGGGGTATAGATGTGGGGGAGGGAAGAGAAGTTTCCTGGCTAAAGCTTTTGTATGTCACTCAGGAAAAATTCGTATTTGTCCCTGGCCAAGTAACATGTTTGTTATGAGCTGAGCTACTCACTTATATCACAGTTGGTGGCTACATGTTCCTGTTATGGTCCTCATTTTGCAGAGGTCAGATCGGATAGATTTGTGCATGCGACGGATAGGGGCTGTAGATGTCGAAAGCATCAGAAGAAAGCAATTCCAAATCAGTTCTGCTAATGTCTTGCTGCCCACTAATAAAAGGAAAGGGTATATGATTTCTCATTTATGCTTTGCCATTAACACTGCATTTATTTCAGCACCTATCTAGTGATGCATTCTCAAAAGCTACTGCTATCTTTCAGTAGCACAGGGAATGCCATTTTCTTACCATGTTTGACTGTCTAAAACTCCAGTTGAAAAGAGGTGGGATTTGCAGAGTCCAACCTCAACCATATCACTCCATTAACTTCTTCCCTGCTAGAGGATAATGTCACATAGTTCTTAAAGACTTATCTTGGTTTTGAAGTGGCTAGGTATAGTCTGGGCAAAAATACATACCGGTATATTTAAATACTCCAGTGAAGTAAGTAAAGTATTTTTACAACATTTTTCTGTATGAAATGGAAACAACACTGTCACTTTTTCTTTGGGGATGTTCTCATTTTTGTTTAGTTGAGTAAGACAATATGTTAACAAGGTTGGTTTTGAGATACCAAAACTGCGACTATATATAGTGTCATCTAAAAGAAGAATATTTGGGGACAAATGTATAACAGCCAGCATTAATATTTCAAAGTGATTCCAGAAAACTTTTACTTTAAATAGGCTGGAAATTTTTAATAGGAGGGTAATTTTTTCCCTTTGGGCCAATTAACCTCCTGTGAATAAATAGTGAATCTTCCATTAGCCTGATGGGGACAGATTTAGATGAGTGGAAAGAAAATTACAACATTTCCTTCTCTTCGTATGTTTTATCCTCTGCTCTTTTTTGAATAGAAATAAGTGCTGTGTCAACAAACTAGTGGCTTGCTAAACAATATTGTGGCCAGCTAAGCTCATGGTCACAATTTTATTAGCAAGATCACCTTTGAAATTTTGATGTTCTCGTTATTCATAAAAGAAACTGAATTTCTTGAAATGGAGATGGTGGTCAACATGTGTGAAAATGTCTGCGACCCTCACTTTCCTTGCATTGGCTGTATGTGTAGCTACCCTACAGAAAGTTAGGGTGCAGGTCCCACTTCAGTGCGTGGTAAGCACTTGCCTCCCACTCGTGGCTGACTGAGAAACTACAACAGTGTGGTGCTTGCTCGTTCCTGGATTCAGCTTAGAGTTATAGCACTGCCTTCGCACCCTGCCTCTGGTTTTTGGTGTCGATGGTCTTGACTTCAGTTTGCTCCATGAGCTGTGCAGCCATGGTTTGGTAGGGGCATTCAAGAACTGCTTCACTGGAGCACAGAAGTTGGCATCAAGTGGAGGGAAAGGAAGAATTAACTTTTAGAAGTGTGAACTCTTCCTACTCAATGAACTTAAAAATAAATAAATTACATATATGTACATGTGTATTTACATACATACACAGCATATGTGTATACATACACAGCGAGAGCGTGGATTTTTTTCTTCATGTTTGATAGTCTAGAATTGTTTTTAATAGAAAGGATTTGATTTTGCGAAGGAAGACAGGACATAGTGTGTGCTGCCCTGAGGAGCATTGCCAGGTGGCACAGTTTTTGCAGGCTTTATGGTCCTTGTTTCTAGCAAACTTCAGTTTTAGGTTTTGTTTTGGTGTACTTGATTTACTGGCTGAGTATCTTGGATAGTTTCTGGGGAGGAAAGTTGTGAATAGCAGCAATACTTTTTTCTTTGGCCTTGGAGTGCTGTCTGTTGAGCTCCGTTTCAGGAGAGGAGTTACTGTGTAAACAAGTGATTTTAAGATGTGTGTTGCTGTCTTATCCGCTGGCAAACTGATTGCAAGGCTTGTGGTACAGTCAGCACAGGACTGTGGTGACAGCCAAAGAGAATGTTTGTGTCAGAGGGGCTCAGAATATTACAGGTATTTGAAAGTCTAAGCAGTTTATAACTAGCGTTCTTCCGTGTGTGTTTAGTATGCTTATGCAGAGAGGGATGGAATTAATACCTTGTAATTATGTTCTGTCTTCTGTAAGACAAAATTTGTTTTTTTCTGCTGCATGGCCACTGATACATCCCCTTCTGCTCACTGCTTACTCCCTCTGTAAAACTGATCCTGTGGCAGAAATATGTGTGTTTACATTAACTCCTTGTAGCCTCATTGACCACTAGTAATACTTTGCTATAGCATCTGATAGCTGTTTAAAAAAGTAGGTAAGACCGCTTTCATTTTCCTTTTTATTCAGTCTTTCATTATAGTAAATAATAAATCCAGGTAACTTTTAATTAAAAATTTAGAGATATGTTAGTGAAGCTACCCTGGGCCAGTGGGAATTTCATCTGAGTTGAGGGCAAATGTTGGCCTAATAAAAAGTTTAAGGCATATGAACTTGTAAAAGGGAGGCTGGGTAAGTCATGCTAGCAGTGCATAGACACTGGGAAGAGATAATTGAGGTGAATCAGCTCGTGTGGGTATTGACCCTGCGGGGTTGCCTGGGTTGGTTGGTTTTACACTTGGGGCAGAATGCAAGGAAACAATGGCTTGGTCTCAGCATCCCTGGTCTCTGCTTCGGGGCCACCTTCTGCGGGGAGCTGTTCTTGTGCTCTGAAATGCAGTGGCTGCACGCGCTGTCCTACTGACCTCGTTGTGGCTGCAATTTTCAGGGAGAAAGTCTTTTACTGTTGATTATTTTGACATGGGTAGGTGCAGCCCCTAACTAGACGTGTGAGGGAGTGCAGCATACTCATTGTGTAGCCCTGGGGTGTATGGTCCATTGGTGAGCTCCACCGAAGGGGGACGTGGCTAGGTGAAA